TGTGTGTGTGTGTGTGTGTGTGTGTGTGTGTGTGTGTGTGTGTGTGTATGTAACAGGTTTTCGGTGTCATGATAATTTATAGTTAAAAGTTTGTGTTGGAGCACTTTTTTAACTGCATACTTCGACAGTGTATGAATGTCAGTTAATTTGTTTATACAGCTTAGAGCATTATATTGCTGTTTAGCCTATGTAGTGCGACATTTTACCTGAGGACATATGAGCGGTCCTCTTCGAGTGTTTGCAGTAGCAATGGACTAAGGTGACAAGTAAGTGACTGATGTTAACGCAGAAGCGTCCGCAGAACAAAAAGTTGTCTTACTGTAAGTACTTTACATTCATTGTACAGGTTAGCAGTAGATATGTTTCGGTTTTTAAAAGTCATAACTTTGAAAATCGCCCGCTTAGCCCTTTCCAATTTTAGTACAGAAGTCTTGTTGGCACCACCCCACACCGGGATGCAGTAGGAGATGACTACGTAACATAGTACTAAGTATACCATGAAGAGTTTTTAGGTTAGCTAAATGGCGGAGGTTCTTAAAAATGTAAATGAGTCTTCTGACTCTTGATGAAAGTGATTTAATTTGGATATGCCAGTCAAATCTGTCGTCTAGTGTACATCTAGATACTTAATGGATCGTACAGTATCGAGAGGTTTACAATTGCAGTTGATGCTGTCAAAGGTGGAGCAGTTTTGTATTTTTATGTTTAGAGGAAGCAATTCTGGTTTGAGGTTTTAGCAATTTCAAATTGAATGACTTTTGTTATGTCTAGGTTAAGTGTTAGAAGATTACCGTCGAACACGTCTAGAGGCATTTTCAGCATGATTTTTGGCAGAGAACCAGCTATCTATCAGAATGGTATGTGTAAGAAATATTCGTCGTTAAAATTTCTATTGTGTCTCTTTTAAAATATTTTTTTGTGAAATACTTAATAAAATTGTTTGTTACTACTGAGACAAACGGCGATATGTTCACGGAAAATTGGAACAACAACGAGTGAAAGCGAATAACATATGTAAATATATTGTTATTTCTCTACGTTCATACTTAATAGCATCTTGATTCATAATGAAGAATGCTTTCAATTAACGAACAATGTAAGTAAATTAATGATACTTTCATATTAACATAGGAAGCACATATCTCCCAGTTTTATTTAGCATTTGGAACAATCAAATTACTTTCCGTTAAAAATCACTTACCGTGGAGCCTCCTAACTACTACTGTTAGTGCACAGAGCTTTTTCACTTGTAACGTCTTGCGTAGTACCGGTAGTACGTTTTTTTAACATCGATGTTCTAACATCAATCGTTTAAGTACTCTACTCATGAGTAGAAATACTCGCTGAATGAATATAGGTTTGTGTTTAGAATGGTATTAAAAAAATAAGATGTAAAAAAAAGAACATCTCGGTTGTTCTAGACGAAGATTCGATCAGTAGAGATGAAATTAATATTTATTCATGGAAATATCTCAGTTTTATGTTTAAAAGTACCTCTACGTAGCCCAAGTCGACGTTCACTGTTATAGTACCATATAATCGAGTAAATACTTCAAAGGCATGTGCACCTTTAAATTGGCCGTGTACTACATATTACTACTACTCCATCAGCTTACACACGTTCTGGGTAGTATTGCCACCTTACCTATTTCTGCCGCCAAGCAGTAATGTCAGCCTTACTGCGTTCCGGTTTTGAAGGGTAAGGGTGCTGGTCAATTTACAGGCACATGGGACTTGTCAAATTATGTCTCAGGGTGACGGGCGCAGTGACAGTGCCCCTCAGATCTTTACGATTTAAAGCCGTGAGTGGTACTGCAACTGCTATGGACAGGCGTGTAGCTTACCATCAGGCACCCGACTTGTTCGTCCCGCCACTTGATATAATATAAAAAAATATCCACTACCATCCAACCTCTGCCAGGCACGTTTTCTAGGTCATCCGTCCAACTTGCCGCAGGACATCCTACATTACATTTGCTTTGACGTGGTCGCCACTCTAGAAATCCCCATCGACCATCAGTGCTTCTACCATGAGATTACAGTGACAGTTATCGCTAACGACCGCGTAAAATGTTTATATACAAAACATGTTTCTTCTCGTAACCACTAGGGGCGCTGTACATTTTGTCTAACAATAAATTGTGAAGTAATTTACGCGGACTCTAGCGATAACTGTCACTGCCCGCCCGGCCCACTGCCAGTTAAGCTTACAGATTTTGTCTTACTGAAATTGTTCGTAAGGTCCTTTATTATCACATAATTACCTATCGCATATTGTTTCAGCACGCCACTACCTAGAAACTATTATAATAAATAGCAAAGGATCTTTGGATAAAGCGAAAACTCGCCTCACCCGAATATGTTCATACAGAACAGAAAAACCGTACTACTTTGGGAATTACGATATTAAAAACGATTTTAAGGAATTTGATGGTGTAATGTACGTTCCTGTTTATTGTTATAATGCCTTCTAAATTGGAACATCTCACTTCACGACTTGGACACTTTTTTGCAACTAGCATCCAAGAATCTCAATCTCAATCAAGAAGTGTACTTAACAATAATCTTATTGAAACCTAATAATTATGTAAACGTTATAAGCAGTTAATAAATTTTATGTTTATTTATTACCACATTATAATATTAGACACTTCATTTCAGTCACGTTGCTATTCTACCGAAATTGACAAAGGACCATTGCAGAATGATTTTTATAAAAAACTCTTGCAAAAAGTATCAGTCCGATGTTATCGTCCAATTTCTTAGAATGGCTATAATGGTAAGTTAAACACTTATGCATGATGCAGCAAAATCGTCAAGAGACGAAAGATTTTCAGTTCGTCTTGTTATCGCATCGATGGCATACGCTACAACGCTTCCCATCGTTTTGAAAGGATTCGGACGCGTTTTCGATTGTTTTTGGATCAACCGATAAATGAATAAATCCTGTTTCTATTTATGTAATTTAGTTGTACTTGTGCTTCCAAACAGGTTTCTATGTGTCTACGGAGTCGATGCCAAAACTGTAGAAACATGTTTCTTCAAAACGTATAAATTTGTTTTCGAAATTGATAAGAAAGATATTTCTCCTCTAATACAAACCTTTGTTTTCCCTTAGGTTCTATGTGAATCTAAAACTGCCTTCGTGGCCGAACGGTTACCATGCTGGTCTCGCGCGCGGCACCACGCAGAGGTCCCAGGTACGATTCCTGGGCCGTGAGTAATATTTGTATGGCCTTTATTTATTTCTCTCGTGAGTCTGGGTGTAATTTGTGGTTGTCTATGTATGTGTCCATAGCACCAGCGATACAGGATTTCCCTAGTGGCCGGGCTATGTGTGCGTATTAAAAATGTATCAAAAATAACATGTAAAAAGTTTGCCTCTAATCCAAAAAAATCTAATACAAGTCCATTGACCTTTGTTGGTAGGTCAATGTACAAGTCCCTTATTTTAGCACTTCTTAGACAGTCTATCTATATATTATATTAAAAATATACATATCGAGTCAAGTGGTATACTTCGTTTCAATCCATTTTAAACTAAAAGTAAACAAACAAGTCAGTGACTCGACCATAGACGGTTTAGTGATGGCCAATTGTAATGCCAACTACAAATAGATTAATAAATCGAATGAATCGATTTGTTCAATTGACTCATACTAGCGGTTTTCCTTACGTAACTAATATAAGCATATTTGAATATTAATACTTCCGAAATCTTAATTTTAAATCCTCCTTCAAATACTTACACTTATATAATCGTTCTTTTGCGATTGAAATTAATATTCGATTTACTAATCGATTACAAAAACTTTGATTTAATGAATCGAATGTATTTTTCGTACATCACTATGGAACCATGGACAAGTCATAGTTGTATAGTTGAAAAATAACCTCACTTCTGGACTACCATTTTTATGATGCAATTTAAATATGAATATTGTTGGAAAAAGTAATGAGATATCAAGTCGAAATTTTCAAAATATATATAAATATACTCGATTTAATTATTAATACAAAGATCGAACACTCAGAAAAAATTCCTTCGATCCGGTCGGATTCGAACCGACGTCTTCTTGCATACCGTGCCAGACGCTATACCAACTAAGCCACGGAACGAACCAACGGACCTCACGAATTTTTCTATGTGCTTGCGTCGTGTCTTTGTACTTGGTCTTTCAACGACTGTTTAGTCGTAGCGCCATCTATGAGAAATCTATGACAGATTTATCACCCAGTTAGTACCTTTACAGCTACCAGTCCTAGCGAGAGATGTCGCTATTCACTGTATTAATTAAATTTTTATTGAATTGATATTCAATTATTTTTTTGTGAAATTACTCCACTAGTTTGTTATAATTATTAATACATATATACATTATATATACATACATATGTATATTCGATTTATTCAGTGATTGCTTTAGGATTTTACACAAACAGTTTTGTTTACTTTTTGTTCAAAATGGTTTGGAACAGACCACGGAAGAATATGTGGTCTGTGGAACAGACTACAGTAGCATTTGATGCATGTGTGTGTGTTTGTTTGTATTACTACTTGTGAAAGTCACTTTACCTGACTTAAAAATATTGCATTTAAGATTGTTGAGTTAAATTAAAAATTCATTAAATATTTATAATGCTGATATTTTGTTTCAGATCCTCGACTACATGAAATGCCACGATTACAGTGACGGCGTTATATTTATTGTAGATCTAATGGATTGTAGTTTATTGCAACTGATACGTAGACTAAGTTTTGAAGAATTACGAAAAGCAGAAAAGATTCTTATAGTAAGCACATTTAAAAAGATTTTTTTTTATTTATTTTTTTATTCGAAGCAAAATTTTAAATTGTCGTCCTAACGACTTATCTAGAATAAAATCCAAACCATAATTTCCAGGATGCCTACGGAGTGAGATTAAAAGGAGTGCATTTTATAAGCTCATTAAGAACAATCAACTTTCTGATCTGGATGTTAAAAAAGGTAGTCAGTATTAAAATCGGTAGCAGACTATGCGCTCACCCGAACATAAAATCTCTAGCCGACGTTATGCCTTTGGAGATACTACCAATAGAATACGGTGGTAATGAAAGATCTTTGGAAAGCCTTTCTAGTAAGTGAAATTAATTTGAATACAGTTATATAGACAGGTCACCGCTAATGTTGAATATGATGTACATTTCATATAGTAGCAGTGGCAGAGCTAATGAAAGAGTTCGTCCATGGAAATACCGCCACCATATCTGCCTTTCGGTTTTGAAGGGTAAGGATGGTATTGTAATTACAGGCACATGAGACGTGTCATGTCTTAAGATGACGGGCGCAGTGGCAGTTCCCCTCAAATCTTTGCCATGGCCGACTTATTCGCTCCGTTACTCTATATGATAAAAAAAACAAAAGAGAAATTGTTTTTCATCAATTCTAATTATTACTGATAAAAAAAATTAAACAAATACAAAGAAAAATTATTTGGATCCGGTTGGACTCGAACCAGCGACTTCTGCGTCTTCGTGGTTCAGCGACAACTGAACCACGGAAGGAAATTACGGAAGGAATTATGTGCATATTACAAGTTCCTGTGAAAAACCTATAAAAGTGTATTAGTAACAACATCATGATGTTCAATAAAATGAATATTCCAAGTGGTAAATTTAAAAGTTGAATGCTTAATTATCCATTATATAAAATCCATTATATAATTAGTAAACACAAAGATCGAACACAAAGAAAAAATCCTCCGACCCGACAGGACTCGAACCTACGACCATGGGATTCCGTCCCCATTGCTGTACCAACTAAGCTACCTTCTGTAGTGCGTGATACTGCTTTCTCGCATAGAAATCACGCGCTGTATGTCGCTCTAGCACAAGTCGCGGCCTATTGTGCTAGCCCTACAGGTCGAGTTACCAAGTCGACGAACCAACAAAAACTAGTGGAGTTATACCACAAAATAAAACAAATCAATAATAAATTCGTTACATGTGTAAACGTAACAAAAAAAAACAAAGGGGTGTTCTAAGCAAAGCGTAGGCGTAAATGAACGTGGAGTACAGTCCTTAAACCACTCACAATTCTCGTCCAATGTTGTCAGTCCACATAGTTTGTTGCTTGTCTGCACCAGAAATATTTCTTCGCCTAATCTCAACCGCTTTAATACCGTTCTAACGATGACAATTCCCATCTTCAATTGGGAAATAAATCATGTCTGACAAAATTGTCAATGCCAAATTATGTTCGTCGGTGTTACATGGGACAAATTTGACAAAGCATAATGACAACGCATTGATAGTACATACATTACTGTCGTGATTGGTTGAGGGTAGAAAACAAAACAATACAATGGACGACAAAAGCAATCAATGGTTTTGCTACGCACGGCATTCCACGAACCTGCATTTTTGTGAAACAATTTGTTTTCCGGTAGTTTATCTCACGTGGGTCATGATGCCACATATTTTTACTGGACATATACATTTATTTCTCGTTCTGTGCAATTTATTCAGACGACATGATATAGTATAACACAATGAGCATTGACATTTAAGTAATATTACAACTCTGAAAGACACAGTGTGGTAGACGAACGTGTTCATCCCTGCAGCTAACCACAAACCCCGGCGAGTCCATACCCAAATCCGGGTCTGCCGGAGATCGCTTATCCGTGAAAGCTTATCACTGGCGGAGGACTCGGCTCGGACGCCCGCCGTACCCTGATCTTGCCGGAGAGCCCGTAGTCTCCCGGAACTCTCCATCTCTCGGGTCGGTAGATAGGGACAATACAGATATAGATTGTGGTCAGGTCAATAAAACTACATATAAATCCTTAAATTGTCTCATCATTATCATCAACCCATTTATACGTGCCACTGCTGGACATGGGTCTCCTCAAGCGAGGGTTTGACGCCATAGTCCGCCACGCTGACCCAATGCGGGTTGGAGACTTCACACTGTTACTAAGGGTGCGGAATCTTCGACGTACAGGTTCCATTACGATGGTTTTCTTTACTGAAAAACTCATGGTAAATTTCAAATTAAGTTTCACACTAAAATTCCAACTCACAGTCTCTTCTTGAAAGACGGTTGGTCAAACCATTATGCTACCACGGCTTTTTTCCTATTTTTTTTTGTCTGAAAATGTGTACGTACGAAATGCGAATTAATTATTTTACAGATGATTGTGTCAACATAATGGCTTCTCAAGAATTCAGATCGCACATGATAGAAATGACAAATGCTCGCTTAAAAGAAACCATTGAAGAAACTGATAACAAACCTGAGAAAATAAGAAATGTAAATATAGATTAAGGTTATTAGTTTTAAATTAACACACTCACAATATGTATTTAATTAAAATTAAAAATAAATTACGAATTGTGTGAACGTGTTCCAAAAACATAAGAAAACTTAATATGCTTTTGGAACACTTTTAAAATGCACTAACCAGTAGTCGAGCAAGGAAGAAGTGTGTGTTGCAATTGGACGTAGTTAAGCAAAAAGGATCCAATCCACAAAATTACCAAAAAATAAGTTATATGTACCAAAGGTTCCTAAAGTCTAACCTCTTAGAACAGCAAAAAAATCCAACATAAATAAAAATCTCTGGAGTTACATGACATTATAAGATTTGAAAATAAAACAAGAGTGAGAAACCCTTTAAAACTTTAAACTGCCGTATCTTTAAAGTGACTGAATGTGCACTGAATCCCTATTGTGTAACTACGTCCAATTATACTTCTAGAGACATTTGGTAAAATATTCGGTAAACCTAATAGGAGTGAAGTGGATAATGTTTATATGAACATTTCAAAACGGAAATAAATATAATGACAACATTCTTTTTAATTTTTTTTAATTTCGTATTATATAAAAAATCTCCCCAAACATAACATACATAAAATTGGAAGCATATAATAAAATCTATTATTCCACATTATGTTTGTAAGAGGTTGTTACCTGAACTATGCGTAAGCTAAACAATTTAATAGGTATTTGTACACCTACCTATTGTCCCGACGATATTGAGTTTTTGCAAGTACCGGATTCCATGCGGCAGATAACTCTTAACCATCCTCCCGATTGAAATTATTTACATCTGTTTGTTAATCGCGTTTATTCCCGTTTTAAAATGTAACGCAAAATTTATGGATAGTATTTAATCGTAATAAGGATCTAGTCATAAGAAGCATTACCACTCCAATTTTACAGTCGAAAAACTGTACAGGTGCAGTCCGCTTGAAATTGTGATGTAGTTGGCACGAGCACAACTAAATAAGTCATTATAAATATTTAAAAGGTTGAAAGCAGCAACCTTTAGTATATAGGTTAATAAAAAAAAAGTGTATATGTGATGTTACAAAAAACTGTTAAGGTTAGGCAGTTTTCCAATAAATTTTAGTGCCACTGTTAGAATTGTGTAGTCTGAAAAGGGTACTACAGTACCGGTACGCTATGATGGCCGTTTTAACAGATTACAATAATGAAGTCAAATCTTAATTAATTACCGAAAAAAATATAATAATCAAATGCTAGTCGCGTCCACCAGTTTTTAGATTTATTACTAGTATTGCAAGGGGTAGGTGATAAAAAAGTTTTAATAAAACGAAAATAAAAATGTTTACATAATTATATCGTCAATTCGAAACTGCTTTGTTTTGCATTGAGTTTTGAAGCGAGTTTGCCGGAGGTAGAAGTTGTGCTGGACAACAATCAGATCACTTATAAGTGACGATCGTATTAGATTCCATTTATAAAAATTTCGAAAAACAAATGCGGAGTTGAGTCGTTAAATTACACATCCATAAATATTAATGCACGTCACTATTAATAACAATGTACATCAATTAGCTCCTTCAACGTAGTTATGAATTAATACGAAACTTGATGAACGGACAAACGTCAAAACGGCCATCATAGCGTGCTGGTATGTAGTTTAAAAAAGGATGTTGCAATATAATTAACTTCTCCCCAAAATATTGTAAAACATGTGCATTTAAAGAGGCCTATAATATTTATGTAAATAGGACCTGTAAAAAAAATATTTTAAATGAAAAAGTAATCGAACGATGTCCCCACAATAATCTAACCTTATACTTGAGAAAAATAATTTTAATTTTATGGTACTTACTATAAGTCAGTCTACAAACTGTAATACTGAAAGTGCTGTTAACTGTGAACTTTAAATTATTTCTTCAATTTTACAAGTCCTGTAATCTCTCGCAGTTTTTTTTTGTTTTTTTATTAAGCCTCAGTAAGCCATAACGAAGTATCGTTATTCTAATTATTTGGTAAGAAGGGAAGAAAATATTATTTATTTGGTCTCATTTTCTTATTTCTCTACACTTATCTTCTACACAAATTTGATTGAAAGTGTGTTCCATGGCATTTAAGTTTATTTTGAAAAGAGCAATCCCTAGAGTTTCTTGTTCGTTCTTCTCATGGAAGTCAGCGTAGTGAACTTGCAGTAGCTTAAATATGACGTTTTCAAGTGTAAATTTATTTTACCTATGGAATAAATAAGTCAAAGTCAAAGTCAAAGATTATTTATTCCATAGGTAAAATAAATTGAAAACACTTGAAAACGTCACATTTAAGCTACTGCTCGTTCCCTTCGCTGACCTCCCTGAAAAGAACGAGCAAGAAACTCTAGGGATTGCTCTTTTCAAATAAACTTAAATGCTATGGAATACACTTTGAATCAAATTTGTGTGGATTCTGGAGCCGTGTCGTCTTTCCATACATCTTATCTAACACGGAGTCTTCAATTTTTTAATGTAGTTTTTAAGATTAGGAAATGATAAACTTAATATATGTTCCGGAATCTTATTGTAAAAACATATACAGTTCCCCATAAAAGAGTTGTTTACCTTGGTTACACGAAATCATGGTACCATGAGTTTGGACTTAGCTCTAAAGTTAATATTACGGATATCTTCTTTCTTATTGAAATTATGCATATTATTACGGGCATATAAAATATTTGAGTAAATATACTGTGATGCCACAGTCATGATACCAGTCTCCTTAAGAGGGAGCATGCCAAAAAAGTTTTGACGTTGGCTCCGCCCAAATTTGTGAAACAAATATATGCCTGAAGTTCGCGTGACATGCGACAGGAGATGTTGAATTTTGCGCATTAAAAGTACCAAATTCGTTTTCGCAGAATAACTGTAAAACTAAAGGGATTTAAAAAAATCCGTAGTGACAGTTCTCGATCATGCATAGGTATAATTAATTATCTAATTTTTGTCCTAATAACCTGTAGCATTTCGAGGATGAATAGGATACTTAGTAATTGAGTCAGCATAACCTTTTCGAATATTTTACTTAAAGCTGATAAAATTGAAATGGGCCTATATTGCTAGGATCAACGTTCCTACCGCTTTTGAATAAGGGAATAACCTTGCTGTATTTCATTAAATCGGGAAAAACACCTTCATCAACGCACCTATTGAAAGCTACAGCTAAATGTGGGGAAATTAGATAAATAACTGAGTCTATAACTTTAGTTGATATACCCCAGAGATCTTCAGTTTTTTTAACATGTATTGATTTAAAAGCTTTTATGATGTCTTGTGGATTAACATGATGGAAATTAAATAAACTGCCACAAACGTTAACATTTTCCTTTAGGAGATCAATAGCAAGAGAAGGGTAGGAATTTAATGATTCTGTAGTGTTCACAGCAATTTCCGAAAAGAACGATTCAAAAGCTTGGGCTACCTTGTCTTTAGATTTTATAAGTTTGCTGTCTAATTCTAAAACTATATATCTATCGTGTTGTTTAACCCTGCCTGACTCTTTATTTATTATGCTCCAAGTAGTTTTAGATTTGTTTATCGATTGTCTAATTTTGTCGCTGTGAAACTTAATGTTAGCAGCTACACATACTTTTTTAAATATTTTTGAATAATTTCTAACATATTCAATGAAATTGGAATTAGTATTATAAGTTTTCATAGCATATAGCTCATACAAACGAGACCTACTCTTATGAATACCTAATAATGCCCAGTCGTTGAATTTACTCTCTCTATGGAAAGTTAATGTTTTCGATTTAAATACATTATCAAATTCATTTTTAATTAAACCAAATATCGTGCTATATAAAGTATTTGGAACCTCCGGTATACGGGGTAGGGAATTTAAACTATTGCCGATATTATTTTGAAATATAATGATTCGTTCTGTGGTAATCGGTCTGCAGAGAAATTGGTCTACCTTTTTGCTCATTTTACAATTAAAAGAAGCCAATTGGCCGCTATGGTATGATCTTCAGCAATTTATTATTGATTTCAACACTGCGTCCATAGATCATACACTATATACTGCGTCTGTGTTACAAAAGATGTTATCAATACAAGTATAAGAGGAGACAGTGATGCGAGTTGGTACTAAGAAAAGATTAATCAGGTTTCCAACAGGTTTACATTGAAATCTCCACATATTACTACGTTTTTTTTTGTTGGAACAATCCGCTTTAAACTATCTTCTATAATTAATTCAAACTCGTTAAAATTAGCAGAGGGAGCCTGTATGCACATAAGACGACAAACTGATCCAATTCCACACATGAAATCTCAATAGTTCGTTCAGTAGAAAGATCTGTGATATCCTTACGCTCTTTGAATTTTAAATTACGTTTAATAATAATCATGGATCCACCTCTACTTAAGCTCTTTCTTATGAACGAACTGAATATTACATAATTTTCTATGTTGTTACTTGCTTCGTAGTCTTTCAGCCAGTGTTGTGTAACACAAAATACGTCAACGGAAATATCGTGCAAAAAAAGACTTATTTCTAATGTTTTGCCAGAAAAGCCTTGAATGTTTTGATGTACTACATGGAAACAATTAGACTTTTCTGTTGTCGTATTTTTAAGTTAAAATTATGGTTAGTAATAAATATATTGTTGCTACTTAAAGTAGGAGCATTGTCGTGGGACTGTGTTATATCTTCTATAACAGCGTCCTTAATATTAAAAGATAGCAAACTAGGTATATGTCTCTGATAAAAGTTTGAAGTTCCTTACGAACTTATTAATGTCAAAAAAATATATAACGTCACTATGACGGCAAGTCAAACTATGAATGTGCGAATTTATGTTATATATATACTTATTACGAGGGATGCCTATTATAGATTAGAGCAGTAAGGGAATGCACTTAGTATGAATTTACACCCACACTTCTCATGAATTCTCAAGAACACGCCAATGCTACTATTTACTTCTTTTTTACTAATGTTATTACTATCATCTATTATAAGAATCACTGTTGTATATTTATCAAAGTTGCAACCACTTAACAGTGTAATAATTTGACTAAAAG